CCTGCTCGCTCGCGAGTCAGCTCTGCCGCCGCTGCCGCTCTAGCACAGGCGGAGACACAGAGACACACAGACTCTGAGAGCAGTTTTCGTGCAACTCAAAATTAGCGCGGGCAGGTTTAACATCGATAATCGGCTGCGAAATGATCCCGGCAGCCGGGGGCACAGCCTCGGCCCCGTCGCCCTCGGTTTATACAGCTAACAAAAGAAACCAGGACCTGTCTCCAAATAGCCATCTTAGGCTTCAAGGCTAGGCAGAAGCTGTAGGCCTCAAAGAAGGGCCTATGGAGATGGATAGATCTGGGAGAGGGATCGGAATCGGCCCTGGCCCTGGCCCCCCCAGAACCCGCGGACGTCGCTGTCCGGAACTGTATTGATCCTTTTGAACTTTTTTTTTTTTTTTTTTTTTTTTTTTTTTTTTTTAGTGTAAACGGACCGCGTTGAGATTTAAAAGGGGGCGACAGAGGGACTTGCGATTGGTTATTGTCCGGGCTTCAAAAACAAAACAAACCCACCAACCCCCCCATCCAAACAAAACAAGTGGTATTAAATACAGGGCTCTCTGGTGAAAACACAGGGATTCAAGAAGCCCTTGCTTAGGAACTCTTACCGATCGATCCGAAACACCCACTGATGCCTTAGGTATCTACAGATCTCTGTAGAATGGGTATTTATTTCATAGTTAGGTTAAGATTTTCTTAGATTGTTCACTTTCAGACAAGTGTGCCTGTGTTTTACCAGGTTTCTGAGAAGAATCAGTGGGGAGAAATTGTTGAAGAGTTCAACTTTCCCAGAAGTTGTTCTAACGCTGCCTTTGCTTTAAAACAGTATTACTTGCGGTGAGTAGTAGTGGCTTTTCCATAGTATTTGGAAATAAGGGACTTATGGAGAGATTTGTTTTTAGCAAAACCAAAAGCAAACCTTGCACACCAAACAGTTCTTAAGCTCTTGTTCATTTCAGACTGAGACAAATTTAATATAAATAAAGTGAGATTGTAGGAAGGTGAAAGTTTTCCTCACTAATTTCAGGATCGTTTACGTTTTTCATACAAAATCATTGCAGGTGACACCCTAGCCCCAATCTTGGTAAACATTCTTTTGTGACATTGTTATTGATCGCTTGATATCCACTGAGGGGCAGAAAGGTGATGCTTAGTAAAAGACTTAAGATAGTTAATGAAACTTTGTAGCCTTTGGGAAAATTTTTTTCTTTGTTTTGGAAAGTCCTTTAGTTTTAAAAATTCTGACTTTAAGAATTTTTTTTTAAATGAAACTTCTTGTTTGGAACAGTGTCATTGAATAGGTTTTTCAGTAGAATATTCCTACATGGCATAACATGTTGGTGGCTCAGGTCACCAGGATTGTTTTGATAATTTTGGTTGAATTTACAGTGACTTAAAAACGTTCAAAAGGATTATTATATCTTTAGGGAAACGGGGATACTATGAAATGGGATACTATAATCTGGATTTTCTTTCATTCTCCCTCTTCTTTTTTGACTGCTTATTCGACAAAGTTAAATTTCTTATTCAGTTGGTATGTGATACAGTCTAGATGATATATTTTGTGATCTAGTGTTATTTTTTCGCTTCTAGTTTTTCTTCTAGGAATACTTTCATATTGTAATTTATCATGAGGCTGTGTTTTATTTTTAATGTTTACTTACCCTTAGAGGATCCTAAGTTAGTTGGTGTTATTTAAAACTAAAATGATATTCTTTGTATTTATTGATTTTTAATAGTGATATTACAGGCCTTTTTTTGTAAGGTGGCTTCTGCATAATTTGAGTTTTGCATTTATTATTGCTTCAGATGCGCTCAGTTATTGTGTATTACGTTCAGCATTCTGAAATAGGAAATGCAGTAATTGCACAGGTGTACTTTCTATTGGCTACCTTAGATTGACTTCAGGCTTGAAGCTGGAGTTCGCAGAACTTTGTGAGTAGTTATTGAGTTACACAGGAAGTCTACAAAATATTAAATATGGTTAATTGTCATCTATTGTGTGTGTGTGATGGCATTTGTGTCAGAGTACATTTTAAAATAAAGGGCCACATAAAAAAAAAATTAACCTCCAAAACTGTTGAGTTAGTAGTGGGGTGAGAAATAGAGAGTTTTATATTCATCGTGACATTCATTTGGTCATTTCTATTTATGATATTGAGAGCAACATTTTAATACATATTCTGGTTTTATGTTTTTATCAGCTTAAAACATTTGAATTTTGGACTGTTTGAAATACGTATTTTTAAAGTTTTGCTTCATATTTC